CAGAGGCAATATGTTAGTTTGTATAAAAATATCCCTATATAGGTTACATGGTCTTTGGGATGAATAACTTGGAAGCACTGAGATGAGGGGATGAGGGTGTGAAAACAGATCTTGTGTGGACAGACATATCTTGTGTGAAGTATGTCATAGTACCAAACTTGAAGAAATAGATGTAAAGCCCTTGATATGTGAAGATAATTTTTACAAATGACAGTGGGGGAATAAATTGATCATTTTCCTCTTATCAATTATAGACAATGTTTACCTGTGTATGTTTGCCTATGTTTCCAAACTTTAGAGTGTTGGGGATGAAGTTCTTCTTGAAAGCATTTGACCTTTATTTTCCTGAGTTGACTGGATACAAGTAAGATGTCCGTGGAAAACAGATACAAACACAGAAGAAAAAATGTAGGGAATTATTTTGAGTTGTTTGTAAGAGGATCCTTTTTATCTGAGAGAGATACTCATTCAAAGGACTTATGACAAGCTTTGAAACAAGCCCAGTGTATCTCTGTAAAGAAGTAAGGCTTTATCTATCTTTTATATGTAGATACAAATAATCTGATCTCCAGGCTATCATGGGGCTTCCAAGTGTCAAGGCTCTATCTTTGTTTAGAGTTTTATGTTTTATTTTTTCTTATTCAGAAACAAGGAAAATCATAATTCTCTGGTGCAGAATGATAGTTTCACGTTAATTTTTGAAAAGTATTGAAATTCCAAAATGTATAAACAAGGATAAAAACTGGATAATAATCTGGGAAGATATGTTAAAAAAATAAATAGGGATGCATGGTCAGTTACATGAATCATAGTATATATAAGATGAGGTAAAAAAAATTTAGTTGCCTAGAAAAGAACAACTACTCTAAGGTCACAGGAAGGTTTCTTCTATTGTCTCCCAACCCCCCAAGGACTCTTCTGCACCACAGTGCATGGTAAAATCATTCTTTCAGGTCAGTGTGCTCCTCCTGTCCTGATATGCCTGTGTTCTAAGTCAGACACTGGATACCAGGCAGAACAGCATAGTAAAACAAATGAGGAGAATCTAGGTAGAAATAAAGTTTTAAGGAGTTGCCCAGCCAGACACAAAGCATGCTGTAATTTGATAGTCATCCACTGGGGCATGGATCCTGGGCTTGGCAGAAGAGAAGGCTGCTGGGTCAACAGGAGCAGGGGTTGCTAATATAGGGTTTAAGAGACCTAGAAGTATCAGGGCTGAGACTATTGATTTACAGCATGCATCAGCTGAGATTGGCCCACGATATGAATTGGCTTAAGTCTACAAAAGGAACTCGTTAGTAGATTTCACTGTAGGGTATTGAGGACATACAGGCAGAGAAAATTGAGAAAAGGAAAAAGAAAAGGAAATACTATAATCCTATGATCTTTGATTGAGTGTACAAAGAAAACCCAAACAGTTTTCAGTAAATCATGTACATTACCTTTTTTTTACTCTTTGTTGACTTCATTCATTTATTTAATGATAAATATTTATTGAGCAATTTCTGTAGAGTTGTTACTCATTTATAGTACTAACCCTGATGGACACAGCCCCTCCTCACAAGGAACTTAAAATATAATGTGGAAGACATACATCAAATTAGAAATTATGAGTATAGCTGTCACAGAAGGGGTACTAGGGAGTATATAATATACGATGGAAAGGGCTCTCCTAGCCCAGGTTCTGGGAAGATTTCCCTAACAATATGATGTTGAAACTGAGATCTGAAGAATGGATATATGTTAATAGGCAAAGCATGAAGGAAAAATGTTTCAGGCAGAATAATTAGCTACTGCAGAGCCTCAAGATGAGAGAGAATGACTTTTTCAGGCAAACCAATGAAAACTAAATTGCTTCTGGTATTGCAGGGCTAGAGCATGTTGTCCTCTGAGACTAGAGAGGAGGATGGGGGCCAAGTCTTGGATGGCCTGATAAATCATGAAAAGGGATCTGTATTTTAAGAGTAGTGGCAAGTATGTGAAGGGTCTTAAGGAGAAGAGTCACATGCTTAGATTTTATATTGAAAAGAATCTAATTCTGAATGTAGATAATTGAATGAAGGCAAATAAGATTTGGAGTGGGAAGACACATAGGTAACTTAATATTCTATTTGAAAAATGACATGTGAAGTCTTAGATAAGAATGGTGACATTTGTCCATAAACTGATGAATGAATAAAGAAGATGTGGTTTATATATACAATGAGATACTACTTGGCAATGCGAAAGAATGAAATCTTGCCATTTGCAATAACATGGAATGGAACTGGAGGGTATTATGCTAAGTGAAATAAGTCAGAGAAAGACAGATATTATAGGTTTTCAGTCATATGTGGAATTTGAGAAACTTAACAGAAGACCATGGGGGAGGGGAAGGGAAAAAATAATTTCAAACAGAGAGGGAAGCAAACCCTAAGAGACTCTTAAATACAGAGAACAAACAACTGAAGGAGGGTCGGGTGGGGGGGCACAGTGATGGGCATTGAGGAGGGTACTTGTTAGAATGAGCACTGGGTGTTGTATGTAAGTGATAAATCATAGGAATCTACTCCTGAAACAAAGAGCACACTATACACTGTATGTTGGTAACTTGACAATAAATTGTGTTTAGAAAAAAAAGAATGTGATTGTATTAGGAAATAGGGTTTATAAGAGGTAATTAAATTAAAAAGAGGTCAATAGCATGAAAAAGCAAAATAAAAATGAACACCAGCCTTTGAAGGTAGACAGAAACGGAAGATGTAAGTATATATTACTGTTTAAAATTTTTTTACAATAAAGGAAAAAGGGAAGAGGTACTGGAGGAACATTTTTAGTGTAATGAAGGTGTGCTTAAGCTTGTACACTGAGAAAAAGAGTTAGTAGAGAAGCCAATATTAAAGGTATAAGGAAGAAAATGGAACTTTGAGGATTTGAAATACCTGAGTGGATGTGATGGGGTGGGACCAAGAGCACATGAAAAGGCATTTTGTCAAATTCAATACCCATTCATTATGTTTAAATGTTAAATATATAGAAATTGGTAGTTCAAAAAAAAATGGTGACATTTGGAGGAAAACCAGGAAACATTTAAGTTGGAATTAATAGGATTTGCAGATTTATTGAATATTCAGCATCAGGGAAGGGAGGAGGAGTTTATTATTACTCCTAGATTTTGCATTGAGGAACTGGGTAAATATTGGTGTCACTTACTGTGACTGGGGACCTGAAAGAGCAGCAGGTTCAAAGAGAGAGCATCAGTTTAGTTTTAGACCTGCTTAGTGGGAGATGTCCTTGAGGCATCAGGCCAGTAGGCAGTTAGATTTATGAAGTAGGAACTCAAGAAATAATATCCCAGCTCTGAAGCCCCTAGCTGAGATGGCAGTTAAAGCTAAGGGAATAGATGCCAGCTAGGGATAGAATGTGGCATGAGAAAAGGCCAGAGATATAATTCTGATTAACACTGAGTTTGGTGGTGGAGCAGATGAGACTAACGCAGCAAACTAATACTGGGAAGGAGTTCCCAAAGAGTTGGGGGAAAAGCAAGAGACTGTAGTTTCTTGGAAGCCCAGTGGAATATTTGAAAGAGGGAGGAGTTAGCAATGATCAAGCAAAGGAGAAATACCTATACAGATGAATACCAAATCATTAAAAGAAGTATTAATGGTTAATTTACATGGAGGAAGCAGAGATGTTACTGGAAAGGTTCCTAGAGAAACACAGGACAAAACATATAGGCAGTAGTTGCCTTGATGGAGCATATTTTACTTACAGAGCAGTAGAAACAAATAAATGAAAAGGTCATGTGTAACTTAATAAAGTATTTATTCCGAAAGTAGAAATGCTCAATTAAATTGAATATGCCTCACAACTTTTGGCTTACATTTATCCAAGACTATCAAACTCAGATATATATAAACTCTTGGGGGAATGTTTTGTCTGACCAGCAGACCATATTGAAAGAAACCAGAATGTCTAAACATACACCCTTGGGTGATTATTCTTTTGTGAAACAGCTATTACTTTTATGTTTTTTTTTAATGAAAACTAAGATAACTGAATTTTTTAAAGTCTTCATTTTTAGAATAATAGACAAAAGTTCAGAAATCCTGCCTTGTATTTATTTAAAATATTCATAATGTTAAAGAATTTCTCTCTCTACTTACAACCAAATTTAAACAAAAAGCTAAAAGAGCATCCTTGACATAAGTAACAGTTGATTTTCTCCTTATTCTAAGTTAAAATTAAAATACGAATTAGAAAACAGAATTTATTGATTTTGATTTATTCAGTCACATTTTATTTATTAAATCCATTAGTTTACTATGAGATATATTTATAAATTGTTTGAGGTATGTCATCATAATTGAGAATAAATACAATTAATAAGTTCCAGAAAATGGTATTTGAATGTTAAGTTTATTCCTGCAAATTAGCTCAGTTTTCTCTTCTCCTCTCTCTTCTCAATGGAAGTAAGTAAAGTCAACTTATTTTCTGTGGTTAGCAACATAAAGTCACCTGTGACTTCACAATCAATTTCTATTGGTGGACCTTGTTGAAGTATCTCCCCAAATAGTTCTTATCATAGTAATGATGACAGACATGTAACTTTCAGTGTCCTTGGTAAGCCTGCATCATGTGATATCTAGATCTGCTTCATTCATTATTAGATACCAGTAGGATCCATAATCCGCTTGCCCAGTCTTCTCATGGCCACTCTCATGTCTTTGTTTCTTAATGTATAGATGGCAGGATTCAAGAGGGGGGTGATAGCGAAGTTGGCAATGAACAAATACTTATCCAGTGATGATGTAGGGAAAGGCCACACATAGAGAAACATGCATGGCATAAAAAACAAAATCACTACAGTGATGTGAGCTGACAATGTGACAAATGCTTTGGACAAGTCCCCTGAAGAACGTTTCCAGACAGTGACCAAAATGAAGATATAGGATATAATTAAGGAGAAGAAAGTAGCCATGGATATAAACCCACTGTTGGCAATGATCACAAACTCTAGCTTGTAAGTGTCTACACAAGCAAGTTTCATGACGCGAGGAAAATCACAGTAAAAACTATCTACTTCATTAGGGCCACAAAAGGGCAGGTTAATGACAAAAACAAACTGAGATACAGCATGGATTATCCCCACTATCCAGG